CCGGTCGAATGGGGGGCCGGGAACTCTACAAATGTACATATTCCTTGCAACGAGAGAGACCGTTCCGCTTGCGAGATTTTCCCCGGAAATGGCGATAGAGCAGGCGACCGGGAGCGCACCGTCAAAATGAAGTGAGTGGGAGTAGGTCATCTTCTGAGGCAGAGCCTAAGTATTTTTGGCCTAATTTTTGCACATTTCCCTGCTATGAAAGTGCTTCCTGTGCCATTGCAGATTCCTTTACCTTGTACTAGCAAGGAAATTCTACTCATCAGACAATCGCTAACTGTGCCTTTTAACAGGGTTACGATAAGGAAAGTTAAAAAAACACCTGTGATTCCGTCATATGGAGCGTGATTCGCTTGGGTCCCGAGACTGACGACTATCAGACCATCTTTAGCCGATTCGATTGATGTGTTCCATGGCTGAATTGGAATATCACTGTAAATCCATAGAAGAGCTGCTCTAGAAGCCTTAGAAGTAGGAATGAGCAAGCGAAATGATAGGCCTCGCTCCGCCCACACAACTAGCGTGAAAACTACATTGAATGCATGTGGCAATCACAACAACCAACCGCAAATAAGGGCTTAGGCTGATCAACATGCAGTCCTCCAACGGGAATCACCAGTGGAGATAAGGCTCGCGGGAATTCCAAAAGGGGATCAGTATTGGCGAAGAAGAGCGAACTGGACCGCAGAAGTTCGCTACTATCCGGAAAAGACGGAAATCTGAAATACTTGATCAGAAAATGCTTCAAAGTCAGAAACAACTCAGTTATAAACAAACTTCTTCTTAAGATAATAGTCCTCGGCAAACATCGACGTAATGGGGTCATCCAATTGCCGGTATTTCCTTGAAACCAACTTTGCCAGCGAGGATATCCCACTTTGTACTAGGTATTCTCTCATATAACACAGGCCATTCCGAAATTCGCCAGACGCATGCGTGAGGAATAACTAAAAATGTGGTTAAAGAACAAAAAACAATAAGACAACCATCTCATTTCGATTCCTCCTCATTAGGAAGTGGGTTTCTACAGCAGACTGAAGAGTTGTGGGCAAAATAGCGACCCTAGCCACGATACGCGCCTAAATCTAGCGCTTAGCAGACTGATGCTACGTTTATACTCAGCGACGTGACTGATTCAGCAATATGGGAAACAAAAGAGCATGGCAAACTTATCACTGACCGCTACAACGCCTGATGTAGTTTATGTTGAATGTGATCGAATTCGTGGCTGCAAACTGTTTGGCGATCTGGTGGCGGGTTTGTTTGGCCATTCCTGTCTTTGTAATTGATGGTGGCTGTGGTCTGCGACGTCGCAGCCTTTTCCGTGCCACTTGTGTTTCCTATGTCCACTTGGTCGAGGATGATCTCATCCTTGCTACTAGCGGAACATGCCGAGGGACAAGAGGGAAGCCCTTGCTCCAACGGCAACCCAGGTGGATACGGTAGTGTAACTCTGACAATGCCGCCCAACTCGCCGCGCGGACATGAGCGCTGGCGATGACGATAGTAGTGCCTGTGCAGCGCGGTCAGTCGCACTCGCACTACTGAATCCGCCCTTGGAGTCGCGGCTAAAGTCAACCCTTATTTTTATTGCTTAGCGTGAGCTCTTTGTTACCCCTCCCCTTATGGTTAGAGCTTCGCTCTCTACTTCATAGCCATCCTTCGATAATAATCCGGTGTCTTTATCTCCCTTCCCTTAACCTTATCCACTTTTAACCCTATAGCTTTATCCAAGTCGATATGTTCTCTAACCTGAAGCTGATCGAAAACAAGGCTCCTCGTCAGCTAGACGGGAACTCCCATAGGACACACCACCGCGTTGTGCAGAATTTTGGCTTTAGGCCCCCACTCCTCATAATGACGGGGGGGGGGCACCCCGTGTGCAGAGCACTATGGATCTCTGTACCAATACATCCAATTATTACAAAGTGCGCATTGTGATCCTCTCGCTATAAAAAGGCTAAAACTGGAAAGAGATTTTGCGCTGGCCGGTTTTGAGCCATTTTGCTCCTGTGAACAGCCGATGTAGGACATAACTCACCTCCGGAAGAAAACATCTTGAGGGAGGGATGTCCAAATTAAGCGGCGAATTAGATGCAACCAGTGTTTCATCAGATAGACCTTAATGGAGAGGAATTTCCGCACAGCTATATATATCATGCGGTTTGACCTTAACTTAAGAAACCGTCAATAAGTTTACCTTCCAAATCAAAATAGATAACCGGAATGGCCAAGACGCGGGTGATAGCCAGCTGGCACGGGTTTCCAGCGTACACTATCGCAACGTCTATGTTTTCTTTCTTGAGAGTGTCCAT